ACTACACCACAGCGGCCGCCATAAAGCTCTATTCACCTTTAGCTAAAAAATCTCGCAATATTTTGGGAAGTCTCTTTGCCGTCCTTGCATATTGGGACGCATCTCCTCAAACACCTTGGTACGAAGGTCTTTTGATAGCCTAAACAGTTCTACAAACCTCTCTTCCAAAATGCTGAAACTATCTGGATATTCGCATGAATTACGCTTTTTGCGAAGGCTGTTCCTAATCTTCTTTGCGAATCGTCGTGTACATCTTTATAAAGTACTCATGGTTACTCTTAAGGAGAAACAAGTAAGAAAGTCTAAGTTCGGGCGGAGCCGAACATTAAATACCCGGCGCAAGTATTAAATATAAGTTTTCCACCTTTCCGAAAGCTACCGCTACATGATAAGCGGGTGTATAAATATTAAGTTGCTAGTCGAAAAATTGAAATTTCAAGCATTTCTGAAATTTACCGTTATATGAAAACCGGCCTCAATTTTAGTCCGACTTCAACAATTTTCAACGGTTTGCTTTTATGTGGAAAGCACAATAACCATCCCGACCTTGGTACAAATTGTTAGAACGGTTAGCGAGATACATATATGTGATCACAAGTGGGCGGTGCTACGCCCATTTTCCAAAATTTTGTCATAAACGTATTTCTTGGTAAAGAATTGTTGCAACCATCAATTTTGAATAAATTAGCTTCAATATTTACTGATTTATCGAGGATTTCGTTTTTCTCGAAATTACCGTTATATGGGATGTGGGCGTGGTTATTTTCCGATTTAAAAATTTTCGGACATGCTGTACCAGGGTCAACAACTGTGCCAAGTTTGGAAGAAATTGGTGTAGCGGTTACCAAGATATACACATGTAACCATAAGTGGGCGTGGCTACGCCCATTTGCCAAAATTTTGTAATATTCTTATTTTTCGTCTAAAACTCATTGCAAATATCAATTTTGAGTGAATTATCTTCAGTAGTTACTAAAATATCGCAGTTTTCGTATTTCTTAAAATTACCGTTATATGGGAGGTAGGCGTGGTTATTGTCCGATTTCGCCCATTTTCAATACCATCCGTCCTACGCCCAAAAGAAGTGCATGTGCGAAGTTTCGTTAAGATATCTCAATTTTTACTCGAGTTATCGTGTGCACAGACGGACGGACGGACGGACAGACAGTCACCGCTTAATCGATTTCTCTTTTCATTCTGATCATTTATGTATACATTTGTCTATATCTATCTCGATTCGTTTTGCCTGTTACAAACAACCGTTATGTGAACAAAGTTATAATACCCTTGTGCACAAGTGCGCTCGGGTATAAAAAGTACAGGATATCACCAGAAGTTCGGATACAATATTACCTTTAGCATTTTAGCGATAGCGAAAGTTGGAATCCGGCTGCTGGAGCATGAAAAAAATAAATGTATGTTAAAAGTGAAAAAAATTCGCTTCCACCATTTACATTTACATAGTATGCGATCAAGATTTTGTTTCACCCCATGTTTTTTATATGTAGAGACGCTACTAGAGAGTGGTTTAGTTAAAAAGCGCAATTATTTTACCGGTATCCATCATGTATAAATCGATTTCAAACGTATGATTCCTTCTTAAGTTTTATCAATCTCCTGCAATTATACGTTTTCCGCACTTCATTATTTTCACTTTAGTTTATTTTTATTTTTTTGATAAAGGATTCCCAAACTACAATAAATTACTATTATATGTAGAGTAGTCAATGTTAAGAGCTTCTTGACTAGGACTACGAGTCTTCACGCTTCACTAAGCTTTTTCATTTACATTTACTAGTAATAATCCCCGAAAACCGGGGTGCTCCGTGGTCTAAAAATCTGCATATGGCCCAAAACGCGGACTGTTGCATTACATTTTTTAAATACCGCTGCAACTCGCGAGAATACAATTTTCGGATAGTTTTTCTTCTTGCATCCGAAACAGGGTAGCCAACTCTTATTTGAGAATTCCCCGATTTCGACAATGAACTTCCCCTATTTTGCCCGAAATTTCGTAAAATTCCCCAACCATAGATATCTCCTTACTTACAAAAAAAACAGAAGTAAACATTATGAATATAATTTGATATATTACTGGTATTTCTGTTTATTTTATTTTTAAACGTAATTCATCTATGTATTGATCAACCAAACTAAACTTTTATAAAGTTAGTTATCAAATAAAGAATAAAAAAATATTTATGTAATATTTACATACTTACATACATGCAGTGGTCGAAAAAATTTTACTGCCACCAATTATTGTTTTTTTTTTGTTATTTAATTTCATTCTTTAACAAAAACCGTTTCAACTTCGTGCAATATTTGGAAAAAATTCAACAAACTTTCGTAAAAATTTCGGGATTTTTAATTGGATTTTCTAGAAATATTTTGAGTATGCAGTTTTGTAGCCAACTCAATTCTAGAATAATAAAGTGGAAGTTCCAATTGGCTACAAATTTTCGTTTTAATGTTTCTTCCGAAGTTGTTGCGATTTTCTTCCATATAAAAATAAGTTTAGCCATTTGGAACTTTGTTACACTAGAATTGAACGCATGATTCAATAAAAGGTTTGCTCAGAAAACAGTTTTCTCGCTCCCTCTTGTCAAAATCGGCTCCCTTAGCAACCCAGCCAGCAGAGAAACGTACTTTTTGCCGAAAGTGCAGTTTTCGTGCATTTTTCGTTTCCGGAAATGTTCAGAAAACGATTTTCATATTTGTTCATTTTTCGTATCCGAAAAATGTCATCATCTCATTTCAAAAATTTTAAAATATTTGTTCAAACTGAGCATTTGAAAACATGTATACATATTCGCCAGTAGCTGAGTGTACAGAGAAGTGTGCTACTAATTGTTAGCTTTCAGGAGGTCCCAGGTTCGAATTCCGTCAGAAGCAACACATTAAAATTAGTTATTCAAATTTAAATAATTGCTGAATCTTAAACTTGTTTTTTGTTTGGTTTCCTGTAACTATGAAAAAGTTTCTGTAAAGTTCATAATGAAATCGTTTTCAACGAAAAATTGTATCAGACAAATTTCAGGAAAACAGCCGTTTTACAACCATTTTCGATAGTTTTCTGCACATACGTTTCGGATGAATACTTCAGTGGGAGAATTGATCTGAAAAACGTCCGAAAACGAAATCGGAAAACGGATGAAACATCAGGTTTTTATACAAAATTGTTTCCATTTTCGGATACGTTTCCGGATATTTTGCTGGCTGGGAAGGCACTGTGTGTGTGTGTAAAGCTTTTGTAAGGGAGTTAAGGGAGTGTCAAAACTCGAATGTAACTACCCTGCAAAAAATGGGACTAATCCGGGATGACTCCGGGAGCAATCGCAAAGGAGCATGCGACTAATACCACTTTTGATCTCTTTTTTCGAGCATGTCCTATGAAGAGACTAATTGTTCACATTTATACCCGAACGGGTATAAAAAGCGACTAGTCACTTTTAAAAAATAAAAATAAAAATTTGCGCCAGCTGAAATTCGAACCGGGGTGCTCAGTTTTGTTAGGCGAATACTCTCTCTGCGTGCCAACGCCGCACATGAAATTGCGTTGACTAAGTGCGTACATATCATTAAATCCTTAATAGTTCCCGTTAGAGATGAGTTGGGGACTAATTGATCTCCAATTATACCCATTAGAGATGAGTCGAGAGTAATTGATCTCCATTAGTACCCGTATGAGACTAGTTGCGACTAATTAATGCCCTATTGTACCCGATTGAGAGTAATCTCAGAATACTCTCTTTAGAGATTAGTCGCACAATTTTTTGCAGGGTAGTATTCCACAACATATATATGTTTAAATACTTATGTATACAAATATACAAGTCGGACGGATTTCGTAAAAAAATTATGTCATGTCTCCGATTCGAATTTTTTTATGGGTTTTATACATGAAATAAACGTATCCGAGGATTTTTTTCCTTTTTTCTTCGGAGATATGTCGGTCAAAGGTCGAATTTTTTCATGATTCTGACCATTCATGTACTTGTTCAAATCGTTATATCTCGGGCTCTACTCATCGTAGAGACTTCATCTTAACGTCGTTTTGAAGATAAGGAAACGGGCTCTATACGATGGTTATGATTGTCCTAAAGTTAACTTAGCTATTTACAGTTGAACTTTTTCAAGTTGATTTGCATAGTAAAGACCAATAAATTTGGGATTTAAAATTACACCATCGTAATCTTTGTTTAATTCTTTATAAAAAAACATAAAAAAATGGGAGTTTTTCAAAAACTATTTTTAAAACATTTTTGACGAGGTGGTTTATTTTGTGAGAGTCAACAGTGAAGTCTCTACGATGAACAAAACCCGAGATATAACAACTTGAAGAAGTAGGTACATGATTATTTAGTCGGAATCATGAAAAAATCCAAAATTTGACAGATCATATATCCGAAGAAAAAAGGAAAAACTTGAAGCCAATCGAAGTTGTGCCACCAAATTTCGTGTCCGATATGAAAAAGAATGCCTCATTTATGATATATATATTTTAATATGGAATAATAGTAGCGTTAGAATTGTAATATATTACATATTTGATTATTTGCAGGGTTGAATTTTATAATTCTTGTATGCCCTTACAGTGTCTGAATGTCCTTTTATTTTAATTTGGTCGTAATTTAAACTATATCCCTGGATCCCGAAAACTTGATCCCGGGATTTCGGGACTCTGAAAAGACTCACCACTCCCGGGATTCGGGATCCCGAATACCTAAATACCTAAATATACTTATGTTCATACATTTGTAATATGAATTTAGCCAGCTTTTTGCAATAAATATCTAAAATAAGATTGACACATAAATCAATGACGAACGATGGCTAGCTAATTAATATTGCCGCCTTATACAACGGTTGTCAACTGCATTTTAACCACCACTCAAACTATAATTAAATCATGGTAATGCAAATTATTAATAATTAATTAACTCTATTCCCACACTTAAAACAATAACTAACATAGCGACACATCTTTCATCTTGCAGTTCGTACCAGCAATCCATATTTCTTGTGCTCTAAATTACCCCCGCATTGGCGCTCCAACAAAACGTTGCCCAACTCCTTCAAAGTAGTGGCACTCGTGGAAGTCGGCGACGGCACACTGGTGACGATACGGGCTGGAAACGACGAGAATTGCTGCGCTGAACTGAGGAACTGCACGGCGGTGATGAAGGATCATGTGGCCAAGTTTAATGATCTGCGCTTTGTGGGACGCAGCGGCAGAGGTGAGTGATTGACAGCGGAAGAATGAAGTAAGCAGTGAAAGAAATGAAAGTAAGTAACTTAAATGCAGAAACGCTGGTGTAAAAATCAGAAGCATCAGCATAGGCACCTTCAGCAATCAATAATGAGCCAATATGGCAGCGTTTGACTTCCGTCATTGAGTGCTTGGCATTGTGAAGTGCTTTTCTGTTGCTGTTGCAACTTTGAGTTGAATTCTCGTGTAAGAACACACGTTACGTCACCTTAAGTGAGACAAGTAAGTGGCCGCATCTAAAGCGGACTCTAACCCAAACGAGCGGGCGTTCCAGTAGGCACTTGCAAAAATTACATCTCCGAAAACTGAGCATTGGCGAACCTGTGCAGCAAGACCAGTGAGGTTCACTCACAGAAGTCGTCACATTATGTCCGCAAGCCAGGCACTTAATGAGTTCGCTGTATTCACATATGTACCTAGTATTGTATGTATATATTTATGCATACGTAGGTATTTACATAAGGGTCGTAAGAAAAAAAAAAGTAAAGTCGGAATTATAATGCTCTCACCCACTAAGATTATTTTATACCGAAAAAATATACCATTTTTTTGAAATTAAAAAATATTTAGAGGTCGCTCAAGGCGCTCAAAGTTTTCCATGTGTTTTATTTGGGGGGAAAAAAAAATTTCGTAGAAATACTAGTATATAATTCTGAAACTCTTTATTTTTCAGTCGGAAAAATCTGTTTCTCTTCAGGAAACCCCCAATAGTAATACCCAAATGTTTATTTAACCATTTTAAAATACTAACGATTTTTTATGGGTTCCCCATTGCATTTGTTAGGGTTTTTGGCAAACCTTTAAAAACTATTAAAAAATTACTAAGCATATCAATTGGTATTATTATTCGAAGTCTTATGAAGAGAAACAGAGTGTTCCGATAAAAAAAATATTGATTGTAATAAATTAGATACCATTTCTACGGAAAATTGTTTTTTTTTTTTATAATAATAAATAACAGATTGGCGCTTACACATATGTTAGTGTTAGGCCGAGCTTCTCCTCCGATTTATAGCGTGCGCCCTGATGTTGTCACACAAAGCGTAGGAGCCTACAGTTTTACGCCGACTCTGAACGGCGATTGTTTTTTTTTTTGTTTATGGGAAGCTGTTTTTCATGGCAGAAATACACTCGGAGGTTAAGAAAAAAACTTTTTTTCAATTTTTTTTTTGCGATGTTGCTTTGACCAGGGCTTGAACCCAGGCCCTGCGGAGTGGAAGCGTGCACTGTTTCCGCCCTACAAATACATGGATATTTGTTTGATTATAAAATAAAAAAACGAGCATATTCGTCAGTACACACGAAAAAAGGCGCGAGCTCAAAAGTTGGCCGCGAAAAAAGGCGCATAAAAAAAACTTCAGCGAAGAAAGACTCTTAAAATATTTTACGGCGAAGAAGGACGCAAAAACATATTTTCGCGGTCAACTATGTTTGCGGGTGTAATAGTATGTACATTCCGTAAATAGTTTTTGGGGAATAATGCTGAAGTGACAGTCCTTGGCCATGTATAAATATACGATTACGCGTCTTTCTTCGCCGACAACTAGGTTACGCGGCTTTCTTCGCCGAAGTTTTTCTTAACCGTCGAAACACTAGTGCGGCTTTATTCGTGTTTAGTGACGATATTTTTTCGGTATAGAACAATCCTAGGGGGAGAGCATTAAAATTCGGAGTTCACTTGTTTTCGGACCACCCTAATGTGCATATGTGTATACTTACCTGCAAAAAGTCGTATGCCGTACGCATTCGTGCAACTTGCTGATCCACAAAAGCCTCTCAGCCCTTGCAACCCTTATAAAATTTGCATGAGACATTTTCAAATTTCGAACCAACAAAATTGGGTTCAATCGTCGAGGTGTAATTCTGTAGCAGCAACTAAGCGTGCTGTAGTCAAAAACTGCACCAACTGTCATCTCCCATCCATCACGTGTCCATGCGCTTAGCTGCAGCTCGCCAGACGTTACATGGATTGCAATTGCTCCGGCTCCTCTTGCTTATTATTCATATAAGCTGGCCGAACAGCAGTAAATTCTGACACGCAACACAAAATTTTGCCATCAATAATCGATTTTAAAGTGTGCATTTTAGCATTGTTATTTTACTGCGATCGCAACATGTCATCTATATTTTGTTTGACGGTAGATCGGTCGGTCGGCAGCGCCTGGTAAACACTGCAAGTGCACGCAAAGTGCAGGCCGGGTGCGGCACCGCGACAGCTCGCTAATTCTCTATCCAAACTGGCAATTAATTGGCACTTGGAAACTTATGCGCTAATTAGGCAGTCCGTGCAACAGTTGGTTAAAATGTGCTGCAGTTGCGCGAAATTAGGATGACGGCGCACATGCGTAGGCCACGCTGGCAGTTCGAGGCTTTCCTGGAACATAGTTATGACTATCGCTTATAGTAAAACACATACATATCTATGTATGTATAGAAGGTTTGGATATTTTATCTATTACTTACGGTTTACGCGGTTACGAGCATTTACGCGTTTCCTTGAATACCCAAAATATTTTTTTATAAAAGTCTATCTAGTTATACAACAAACGCAATATAAATCCACATTTCAAACTTTGTACAAAAGTTATAAAAACTCAACAAGTTTTCACCTAAATTTCAAACCTTTTATTCAGAATTTTTTGGTATTTAGTTCAGGCTCTCCCAAAGTGGGTGCCTGGAGAGTATGCCTGGGGTGCCGCTAGTGGCTAGAGTATACTAGTGGTGCGGTATTAAATGACTAGACTTTGAAGTTTACCTTATTGTAGGTATACAATCTTCGATTATTACCGCAGCGACCGCCATCTGTAAAATCATTTCAGCCAGTAGCCACCCAACTGAAGTTCGGTTGCCATAAGCATAAGTCGGCTCAGCTCGATGTTCTGGTCACATAAGTACTTCTACTATTCTGGTACTTACAAATGTTGGCCCAAAGTTATAATACCATTTTATGCTCATCAAAGGTATAGTTTTGAAATCTCAAATCGGTGAAGTAGGTAACAAAATATAAATTTAAATATTTTCTTAACTTCGCCCAGCGTATCTTTTAAAATCTCATTTTCAAAAATTTCATGCATTGCTATAGCATGTCATTAGGGGTGTTTCTTAACTTTTTACAGCTGTTGATAACAGATTGGGGAAGAGTATAATTTTACGCACAAAGAGATCGAAAGAGGAAAAACTAAATAAACGAAAACTAGCAGAAATTTGCAGTGACAGTACACACACACACACTCATCTTCAAATGCATGCACAAATCCTTACATTCTGCAATTCGTAACAATTCTGTTAAATGTTGGATAGTCAATAGGTACGTTCATTTAAAATCTGCAGTAAAAAATGTCCAACAGCAAAATTCCGGAGAAATATCATTTGTTCTTTCACAAGAGAAACATATCCAAAATAGTACGCCAACAGAAAATTTGCAGAAACTTGCAAGTTACAGGTCTATTCTGCACTTGTAATAAAAAGTTTGTAACCAGTAAATAAAGTTCCTGTCAATTTTTAAACCCTTTTCGCATTCTCTGTACTCTTGTAACCGGTAAATTTTGTTACCATCTCATAAGCTGGTAACAAAGTATTGCCCCGTGAAATATGCAATGCCAGAATTTGCACAATTCTTCATAGCTGAATCGCTGAATATTTTAACTTCTTGTCACCGCGAGTCTAGGTACGTTGGTAATGCAGTGAAAATATTCAGCAACTCAGCTATGAAGATTTGTGGAAATTCCTGTATTGCATATTTCACGGGGCAATACTTTGTTACCAGCTTATGAGATGGTAACAAAATTTACCGGTTACAAGAGAGCACAGAATGCGAAAAAGGTTTAAAAATTGACACACACTTTAATTACCGGTTATAAAATTTATGTTACCAGCTCAGAATACTNTCAGCTATGAAGATTTGTGGAAATTCCTGTATTGCATATTTCACGGGGCACCAGCTATCTCATACAAATTTACCGGTTACAAGAGAGCACAGAATGCGAAAAAGGTTTAAAAATTGACACACACTTTAATTACCGGTTATAAAATTTATGTTACCAGCTCAGAATACTTAGACCTGTAAAAAGTATAAGATTGAAAACGTAAGAAAACAAATCCTGAATTCTTATCCTGACACAGTTCACTGACTAAACGAATAATTACTTATTTCTTACAAGTTTAATCAGTCGCATTTTACTATTTCAACTTATAAACCATCAAATACAATTTAGGGATTTGCGTAAATTCCAGCCAGCTCTTCTTGATCAGCTGTTTTCTTGTTGGCAAATTGCTGTGGGCTAAAATATGTATTTATATGTCGTCGGTCCCTACGAAGAGTAGCACATTTCACTATTCGCGTGGAAGACTAGCACATTTCACTATTAGCGTGGAAGACTAGCACATTTCATTACTCGCGTCGAAAAGTAGCACATTTCAGATTTTTGCGTGGAAGACTAGCACATTTCATTATTTGCGTAGAAGACTAGCACATTTCAGATTTTTGCGTGGAAGACTAGCACATTTCAGAATTTTGCGTGGAAGAGTAGCACACTTCAGATTTTTGCGTGGAAGAGTAGCACATTTCAGATTTTTGCGTGGAAGAGTAGCATATTTCACTATTTGCGTGGAAGACTAGCACATTTCAGATTTTTGCGTGGTAGAGTAGCACATTTAAACTAAATCATAAAAGCATAATTTATATTGGAAATTCAAGTGCTTATTTTATATTTGCGTAATTCTATTATAAAATTCATAAAATTCCGACGGTATATCCTATGATTCCTTTGATTATTTTTGTCGCATTTGCTACTATATAACGAATAAACACAATTTATTTTTATATGAAAGAAAACCGCAACAACGGAAATTTTTTAGCCACTTGAAACTTGCACATTATTGCAATAAAATTGAAAGGGCTTTAATTCTATATACTCAAAAAATTCTTAGAAAAAAATTATTTGACATTTGGATGAACATTTTTAGATT